ACAAAGGCTGCAACACTTGCTCGCAGCTTCCTAGCCCACCAGGTAGGTTATTGGTGCGCCTGGCGTTCCTCGAACCCAGGTCCTCACCCTTTAACAACCTTCCCACTTGACAAGTTATCACCAATTGTAGCTGCCATGTGGCAGGGGTTCCCACCGGGATGGGTTGTGAAATCCCTTGGATATTCGCTCGTGGTTTGGGATTGATTAGGAGTGGAGATCCAGAGAAAATGCTACTGGAGTGCCTATAGAGTGTTGGTGTCGATCAACATCAGTGGTGGGTGTCGCTTGACACCAACGTTTTGTTCCGCGAGGATAGTTGCGACTCGCGATCGACACCAGTCATCACTTATGGCGTTTTATGTGTGTTTAAATGCTTAATTTTATTTGTTTTCCTTGATGATGGTTATTATTGCTTGTGTGTATAGCCCAATAGTTGGGGTGAGTGCCTCACTAAAATAAAGTATTTATGAAAGTACGTATGCATCTCTTTTTGTGATGCAGGTAAAAGAGAAGGTGTGACTGTGGAATCATGGGGAGGAGAAAAGAATGATCTAGAGGCTCGTTGGATGTTTTAAATAATATGCAATTGCTATTGTTAGAAATGCTAGTTCATTGAATCTTAAAGCATGTTAGGTATGTTGTCTGACTTGGAGTAATTGCTGGATTTGTTGATTATTGCAGTTTGTTTATAGGTTTGACAATTTGATGTTTTCCGCTGGTCTAAATAATTATGGTTGGTTTGTTATGGCTTAACTGTTTTAAATTGATTTCGTCTGGTTTTGTTGATTTAAATTAATTGGGTTTAACTGGTTGCATGATTAAAAATAAATTTTTTTTTGGGTTGGGTCTTTTCATATAGAATCTCAACTCATCAACTAAAAATATTTTTTAATAATTTAATTTTTTTTCTTAGTAATATTTAAAAGTATGGATTATTTTTATTCAAATTTTTATTGCATGAGTAGGTTCTGTATATTTTTTTTAGGTTATGTAATTTACTTTTAAATTACTAAATAAATATTATCTGTATATAAAGTATTTTTATGTAACAAAAGTTTGTTTTAGTAACATTTACAATACTATTTGATATATCCAAATGTTATTAAAATCATTTATAATAAACTGATTAAATATTTGATTTAGTAATATGTATGTGAAAATAAATATTTAGATTAATTTTGGTATTTTCAATTCATAAATATAATATTTTTTTGGTTAACAAAATAATTAAAAAAATATACAATTATATTAGATATTTTAAATATACTTATTATCTAACATATTTATTATATATACTCATAAATATATGAAATATATTTTTATTAGTACAAGCCAAATAAATAATATACAATTATATTAATTTTTTTGTCAACAAATTAAGATTAGCTTAAAAGAGCTAATTGGGAGGATAATTGTTTACATACTTGACAAGATGCGGACTAGAATGAACTTTACGTGCCAAAGTATCCGCTTTACATTCAAATTCCTTGGGACAAGAGATAACGAAAAAGTTGAGAATTCTTCCCTATCAATGTTGATATATCATCAAGGTAAATAGAGAGGTCGAACACTCGGAGGGAGAAGACACCATCTTCACCAAATCAGAACAGTCAATAAGGAACATAACATTTTTGTATTACTAATCATGGATATCATCGCCCACACTAGAGCTTCTACTTCAGTATGGAGAGGACAAAGACTTCGACTGAGATTTGGAGCTCCCATCATCATCAAAGAGTCCTGAGCATGCTGGCAAAACCATCCTAAACCTGCATATATATTTGTATCCTTCTAAGAGCCATCGATGAAATATTGGTAACTAGTAAACATGGAGGATAAAGGGCCAAAACGACCTTGTAGCCTGGAATTAGCTACAGAAGACTCCAATATGACTACAGTGGTTAAATAGTCCAAATTAATATTTCGGTACTCGCTGATTTAGGATATTTGTATAAGCTATACTAAGTATAAACATATTGATGTCAGTATTTGGTGTTATTTAAGTTTGGAGAATTAAAAATAAACAATGCGTGATTTTTTAAAAGTAGTTACATACCTTAGCTTCAGCCGTTGATATTGTCCAATTTTATTAGAAAGTCCACCTCTGAAACCAATAAATACATAACATTAATATACGTTATTAAAATTAGATTTATTTCTATGTAAATTTAAGCGAGGATCATGGATTTTTAATAGTACCAAAGCAAGACCATATACTACTATAAGAATAGAATTGATAATGTTTTAGCTTATTATATAAAAATTGTTGCTTTAAGATACTATATAGAGATGAAATCAATAATACAATAATGTTTACTAAGATTAAGGAAATTTTGCAAGATCTGCGGTAATGGTTTTAAATTGTCATTTTATTTTGAACAAAACTAATACGTAAACACAAGTATATTAGGTAACTAGATTTCCTGAGATCGTCTCTTTAGTAATGCTATCCTATGTAATCAAAGGTTTAGTAATGCTATTAGACTTCTCTTTATTTACAGAGAACAAAAAACGTATTGGTGAAGGGTGAATGAGATGAGTGACATACCAAACCCAAATGCTGTTACTAAAAAACCAACAAAAAGAAAGAGAGTTTTGCCAAAACAAATGACAAAGAGTGTGGTTACTGAGCAAAATCAACACAATACCACTACGATTGTACCACTATCAAGAGATTTTTCTACTGTACCACTTTTCAGACAATCGCTTGATTTAATCAGAAAGTTACTCAAAGGTAAAGACATATTAAGCAAGCATTTTCAAGCCAATCGTAGGGGTTATTGTATGGTTTTTGCAATGACATCTCTAGGAGGTAAAGTTGACAAAACGGCACAGCACGGGATAGGGCCAAACATGTTTCAACTACAAGGATCTAATTATCATCTAATTGGTAGTGTGAAGCCAAAAGTCATGGATTATGCAAAGTTCTCACAATTATATATTGTTGACACAGATAATGAAATTTCAAACAGAGAATCAGTACTGAGGTTTGGATCCTTTCTTGCTATACAAATGATTATAAAATTTAAATCTAACCCCAACAAGTATGTAATAGATGATAACATTGTAATGCAGCAAATCCAGGAACGACAATGAAACAACTAGGAAGAGGAAACTCAAAAGGGAAATCATTGAACTACTGATAAAGATGTTGGATGAAGTTAACCCATATGTTGAACATTTTTGGATGGCCAGAGATAGGTTTGCTGAAAATGCTGATCAAACCATCTATATGAGGATTGTTTCTGATCGCCTTGGGCTAGATGGAAGGAATTATACAAATTCTATAGCTTCAGAGATAACTGCTCTAATACTTGGGGATTTTGTAATAGGAATGCCAGAACGTCATATCATTATCGAGGAGAAATCTACAGGTTTCCTACAAAGAATCAGTGAAATTCATCCCTCATATTTGGCTTTTCAATATCCCTTGCTTCACATATTTGGGGAAGATGGGTTCAAACCCGGGATTCAGAAAGCGTACACAGATAAAACTAAAACCAAGAAGATCAAGTGTATTAGTATGAGACAATGGTTTGCATTTCGCATACAAGAGAGAGAATCTGAGTCGCAAACACTACTTCTATCTAGGAGATTGTTCTAGCAGTATGTTGTTGATGCCTACACGACGATCAAGTCAAACAGATTGACATATATCAAGCTGAACTAGTCAAAGATAAGGTGCGAAAATTACAGCAATGTAAAAGAAGCATCAGAATCTGGAATTCGCAACATGGGCAATCAAGGGAATCCTATTACAATTCCATCTTCTTTCATTGGCGAGCCACGATATATGGTTCAAAGCTATTATGATGCTATGGCTATATGCAAACATTTTGGATTCCCAGACCTATTCATTACATTTACATGTAATCCTAAGTGGCCAGAGATTACTAGGTACGTAAAAGCACGAGGCCTCACTGAAAATGATAGGCATGATATAATATGTCGTATATTCAAGATTAAGCTTGAGTCTTTGATGGTTGACTTAACTGAGAAAAGATATCTGGGGAAAACAGTTGCTGGTAAACTAAAAATACATAACATTTATATTATTTGCTTGAAATTGATATTTTATCTAATTTTTAATTTCTTTTTGCAGCTATGTATACAGTGGAGTTCCAAAAAAAAAGGTTTACCTCATGCACACATTCTACTTTTTATGGACAACAAAAGTAAACTACCAACAACAGATGATATCAACAAGATAATAAGTGATGAGATTCCAAACAAAGAGGAAAAGCCGGAGTTGTATGAAATCATTAAAGACTCTATGATTCACGGTCCTTGTGGAGCTGCTAATAAAAATTCACCCTGTATGATTGAGGGGAACTACTCTAAGATGTTTCCAAAGTCCTGGGCCGAGTTTACTAGAATTGGTAAGGATGGTTATCCAATATACAGAAGGCGCGATACAGGGGAGTTTATCAAAAAAAAGTGGCTTCAAGTGTGATAATCGTTATGTAGTGCCTTACAATGAGAAATTATGTCTGAGGTACAGAGCACACATAAATGTTGAATGGTGCAACCAAACAGATTCAATCAAATATTTGTTTACGTGCATAAACAAGGGACCAGATCGTGTTGCTTTCGTTGTGGAGCCTCAAAATTCAAGTTGGACTACAACATCAACGACTGCTGATAACTGAAATTAGAATCAAAGAAGAAAAATGAAATCAAAGATTACTTTGACTACAGGTTATTTGCATTACATATTCCTTTATCTAAAAGTTTTGGATTTAATAGTTGGTTTTAGTTTAAACGATTTGATTTTCAATATAACTGTTGGTATGTCTCGCCATCAGAAGCTGTTTGGAGAATATTCAAATTTCTAATTTAGCATAGAACTACCCCAGTCCAAAAACTCTCTTTCCATGTAGAGGGTAAGAAACCTTGCTACTTTAAAAAGGATGATGATATTGAGGAAGTTTTGGAAAAGTCAGTCAACGAAGATTCACAATTTATTGCTTGGTTTTATTTGAATCGAGTTGATCCATCTACTAATCAGTGGCTTTATTCGGAGATACCTGCTCATTACACTTGGCAGGGAAAGATAAAGAAATGGAAAGAAAGAAAAAGAGGTTTCTCCTTAGGTCGAATTAATTATGTTCCCAGAAGAATGGAAGCAGGGTACTATATGGGAATCCTTTTAAATATAGTAAGGGGTCCAAAATCGTTTGACGACATCAAGACCTACAATGGGGTTGTCTATAAAACCTACAAAGAAGCATGTTTTGCTAGAGGTATTCTTGATGATGATCAAATATTCATTGACAGTCTAACAGATGCAATGGTGTTTTGCAAATCAACTACGCAATTTGTTTGCTAATATGATTCTCTTTAAGTCATTATCGCGGCCAGAACATGTATGGGAAGAAACATGGTTAATCCTCTCTGAAGATATTGAGAAGATGAAACAAGACGAGTACAACAATCCAGGTTACAAATTTACTATATCGTATAATGGTTTAGTATGTGATGATTAATTTTGTTTTTACATATAATATGCCTATAAAACGTCTCCTAATACACTAATAGTTTATAAAAATTTTCAGGTTTGAAGTTGTCAGATTCAGATAAAAGAAATTATGCACTCATTGAATTTAAGAAGCTAATGATAATGAATGGTGGTACACTTGCTAGCATAGAGAAGATGCCTCAGCCTACAAGAGAAAGTTTTGATATTTCTAATCCTTTGATTGTTGAGGAAATGAAATACATTCGTGAAGATCAAAAAGAAAA